AATGTTTGCGGCGCATAAACAAGAATTGTTGCCACTGGGCGGCAGGGTAACACGCTAAACCATTAACTAAACAGCAGCAAATAAAACAAAAGCAGAGCCGTGCAGGGCAATCGAGTGGAAGGCCGCAGGGTAGATGCCCTTAGGAAAAGTCATTCATCTTTTTTTTGTGAAGTTGAGGCACAGGAGATTGGAGATTTAAGGGTCATCTATAATCTAATTGAATGGATAAGAGAAATTATTATTTCAAGAGAAATCAGTACATCTGGTTACTACTGAGCTTCTCCCCTCCCAGACTTTCCAAGACTTAAGTTTTTAAGATTATGGAATATTTAATTTATTCTGATAGCTAAGAAATTTCGCTACTTAGATTAGTTTACTGAAGATTAACGAATTGATTTACTTAGAAATATATTCTTTAAATTAGGCACACTAGCATTTGCTTGCTTCATAATAAATAATCCCCATTATACAAAACAATTTTCGAATTATCAGAACGAAGCCACTTCCATCCAATTCACTAGTTAGACGATCCGATAAATGTCCCCAAACCACAAAGCGAATTAAAATTTAGAACCTTTGCCCAATTTCCTAATCGTATTGCAGGGGAATGTTTTCGTTGGCTTTCGGGGGGATGGAGAATGCAGAGGCCCGCCACTACATGCATCCGCAGGGGCTGTAAAATAGCTGTAACCCAAAAATAGCGGCACTTAATAAAATAAGCGTGTGGCATGACCGACACAAACACACCCACACCCACACCCACACGCACCACCACACCCGTACCCCCTCCCACATTTCCTGCACACATTTAAAATCCTGCGTTCGACCCACATGTTGTCGATGCATAAAACAATTTTGCACGGAAATTGCAGTAATTAACTTTAGTACCTGCTTGAGTGACATTCTGGAAATGTGTGTACCTGTGTCTGCTTGCATATGTATTTGTGAGTGCGATTGTGTGTGTTTTTCGGCGAGTGTGCGGATGGTGTTGGCCAAAAACAGGAAGCTCACTGGAGTGTGTTTGACTGTTGGTCTGTTTCTCTGTTCTCTGTCTGTTTGTGCATTTCATCTCTTCTATGTATGTGTTTTTCTAATTCAATTAAAATAGGCTGCAAGAGCAGCAGAGGGAGATGGAGTATCCAGGAAGAGGGGCAGCAACAGCTACAGCCAGCTCAGATGCAATGGCGACTCATTAGGAGGTCTGCATTTGCAATTGCATTGCCCCATTTCGCCGCACCCCATCGACTGTCCGTGTAAGCATATGTTTACGCTTGTATTGGTGTTTATGTTAACTGTCACTACATTTGCCTGCCGCCTTTTCAGCTTTGCCGCCACTCATTCCAGCACTCTTTTAATACCCCACAGTCATGCCGTATACGGGTATAATGTATTCATGGGGATGTTTGAAACAGTAATCAGCACAATGATCCAGGTAAATGTCTATGTAAGTACGTGTGTAAATATGTATGCATATGTACATGGGAACATAGATATCTTGTTTAATGACAACTAAAACATTTAAAATATATCGAAGCGAGTTCCGCAGGGTGGACATGGATCATAATGCACTTTTCTGTATTTTTGAATAATTTCAGGTGGTCTTTCGAACAGTTTCCAATTCCGTATAGATCATATCTACCCAATGCACATTAAAATATATATAATTGGTATTGGTATCTTATAGTCGATTATATATTTTCGATTCGTATTCAATGCTGGCTGCTTTTGTTGTTTGCTATGAAACTGTAAAAACATGCCATACCAGCATGAAGGCATGCCTATGTAAGAGTGTGTGTTTGTGGGTATTCCATTGCGTGTTTTCGTTGCTGTGTTGTTGCTTGCATGACTGAGTGCCTGCCTGACGGGACGCCGGCCTGGGCCTACTGGTTGACTGGCAGGCCTTATAAATAATTGAGTAACAATGCCTGCATTTTTTCAACGTAATGTCGATCGTTAGATAGCATAGACATATTTATCAAAGCTGATAATTGCTTTGCTCAAAATAAGGGATTTTATCTTTTGGTAAATATTAAAAAAAAAATGCAGAAAATGGAAAATGGGTTTTATTGAGATTGGGGGCAGTACGAAAATCGAAGTCAATCTAGGAAATTAAATTTAGTTTTTCCTTTTAGCATATGAATAATTCATGAAGTGTTTTCGGTACAAAACAATCATAAAATGATTATGTCCATGATCCAGGCTAAATTGGCTTAAACTTCATTTTATGTAAAGTTGTTTTGCATTTAAAATACTTTTTGCACCTTCAAGATATTATTGACTCAAATTAATCAAAATTGTATTCCAATTTAAAGGTCAAAGTGAAGAAAAGAAAATAATACGTATGCTATTTTATTTATTTGATTTTATTAGCTAGAATCAAAATTTCATGGAATTCTTGCTATAATGAAAAACAATTGTTCCTCCCCAAATGATTGCTCTCAGAATATTAAATTTTAAATTCCTCATCCGACTGGCCATAAGCCACATAGAAACCAATTGAACAAATATCCACAAGAAAGCATATATGTGTGTATGTATTTGTACGTATCCAAATGGATTTCTGAGTACATGCACAGCAAATGTTCAAATGCGAAATTAATTAATGCATTTTCATTTGGAATTTTTGGGGCTTTCGGGTTTCTGCTGTCTGTGCTTTATCCTATTTATAGTTTTGCGCATTTTGGTCGCTTGTTTGTTTATTATCGGGTGTTGGCCAAAAACAAGCCACAAAATAAATCATTTTGTGCAGCAGAGACAGCACACTCAGCGCTGTGAAATACGCTCGTATCAAAATTTAAAAATTCCACCATTAAATGTGTACAAAAATATTTTCGGTTTCTTTTTTGTCACACAAATTGCTTGCCAACTGAACGGAATGCATAATGTCTCCGCTGAATTAGCTGCATCCAAAACAGCACATAATAAACACACACAGAAAGTTTAAACTTAATTATAAACTTGAAATGGTTCAATGTGTGTGACTGTGCTAGTCACATGGAAAATAACTAGTGATACATTTCTACAGAGAGCTACTAGACTAAGAGATACCCGGTAGTCAGTGAATGGCACTGAAATTAAGCAATATAAATAAGATCTAACACAATACTTATAAATGAATTGAGTAATATGAACAGAGTGTCAGTAGACACGGAATGCAAGAATTGTAACCTATTTAATGGAGTATATGTAAATATTTTTGGAAGCAGATAAACCCTTGTTCTACACCTCCACCGGGTTCAATTTATGGGCCTACGCAAATCCAACTGACTGACTGACTGACTGAGCAATTAAAGCCACACATGCATACATATAATTTTCGAATTACGAGTTCACAGAATAAATTATATGCAGCAATTTATTCAAGCATCCATAATAAACCTACACACACAAAGTTCTTTTGCTTGAGTTATTGTCAAAATTATCTCCAATGTCTATGGCATAATTATGACGAGTTTTAGTTTCTGCCACCCCATTATCCTCGCTAAGCCCAGAAAGTTCACTTTAATCACTTCCACTTCCACTCCCACTCCACTTTTTCCCTTTCCAAGATGTGTTTATAGTTTTGTGAGCCACTGTCGTCTGTGTGTGTGTGTGTGATTAATGAAGGGTTAATAAACGGGAAAATTGCTCCCGATCTGTGAAAGGATACTCCCAGTTTTGATATGATTGGGGGGCTTGACAGTTTACTCAGTTTGCTCGAGTGGATTTTCACAACATTTTATAGCCAATGATATGATTTAATTAAGCGATTTGCTCACATGAGAGGTTGGCGATTATTGTGAATAATAATTCTATTTTGTTGGTTTTTCGGGTTATTTGAAATTCCCCATAATTGTTGGAGGGAGAAAGTGGTTTTTCAGGATGTTGCACATTGAATAAATAATATATTGGTCAATGCTTGGGCCCGAATATATGACGAGAATAGATAATTTCATCTTGGGTTCGTTCTCGTTTCATCTTGTGTGTTGGATTATTTCAAAAACGATTTCTCATTGTTTAATGAAAGTTTTCAGCGGAGCGGAGCTCTGGCCGTCCCACAATTCACACCGAGCGTATAATTGAAATATCGTGACTCGGCGTTCGGCTCTGCCCCTCATATATTAAATACAATTTTATTAAAAGGAAGAAGAACCAGAAGAGCGCACATAATGTGAAAACTAGATGGAGGAGCCATTATAACTTTTGCTTATAATTTATGACGGCACTTGCGGCACTTTGCGCTGAATTTTATTTACTTTTTTTTTTTGCTTCTTTCATTTTTGAACGGAACTTTTGCGCTTCGGCAATAAGATTAAATTGCCATTGTTGCCCTGGCAATGTTTCAACATTTGCCACCGAGATACAATTACGAGATATGCAGACAATTGAAAGTCAGATCCTGGTGTAACAATACACTTGGGTATCGCTCGGTGACGATCCCCTATGCGAGGCCCTTATCACGGAGGCACATTGAAACATTTTGTCAATGAACCAAACTCATTAATGTGTAAGTATATATTTATGTACGTCTGTGTATATATATGCATTGTGTGTGTATAAATATTATACAGTAATTTTATGAATTTTAATTACTTGAACCATCAACGGCAGCTACGAGTATCTGCATTAATCTCTATGAAAAGAGATGCATTAAAATGAATGGAATTGTTAAGGGCGCACAGCTACCATATAAATCACATTTGGGTTAACAGAATTTAATGCAAAATAATTTACTGAAAATACTTCAAATTATTTAATTTATTACTACGAGAATGCCTGACGGCTTATTGTTTGTCATCAGCATCCATCAATCTGATTGAAACTGAAAGTTTGAAAGGGAAATCAGCTATTCGCAAGAGAATTTTTCAGTGTGAACTTATGCTTTAAATCCGAGCTTCTACATATCGAAGATTCTCTGATATTTTTCGAAAAGTTTTCAAACAAATTCGCATTAAATTTAATTGCGCTGCAACGAAACAGAAATGTTATGCACATTTCCCGGGATCAACTTATGACGGTCATGCTGTAATCGTGATAGCACAGAGGAAAGGTTCAAAGCAAAAGAAATCTATTTCAGTTCCATTCAGTTTGAGCGATAAAATGAAGGTGCTTCTCTGTCTTTTCGCTATTGTGTCCCTTTTTTTGCACATGACACTTGGTGACGATATGGTTAAAGGTTTGCAAACATAATTGATTCCCGATATTTTAGTTGAGTGATGTTAACATTTCCAGAAATTTGCCGTCAGGGAGGCGGTTCATCAAAGTGCAAGAGAAGCAACACTTATACTTGGAATAGCAGAATGAAGAAGTGCAGAGCAGTCCGAGTACAATCAGGTCCGTGTGGATTCTTCAACATTTTGGATAGATGTAATGAAATATGCGCTCACCAGGAGATGACAGATGCGGAGTTGGAGGTCTTTATTCAAAAGTACGCTACTTAGGATTTGGTTATGAAGTGTCTGTGAACCGTTTAGCAACCAAATGTTAAATGTTTCTTTTATAAAAATGAGAGCACACATATCAATAGCGGTGTTTAAAATGCATTTGGTTATGTGATGTGAGCGGAACGGGTATTTATAGCCAGCGGACTGGTGTAAAAAAAGAGGAGGCAGAATAACGTTGCTGAGATCAGCATTTAGAGCCTATAGAGAAACCTATGATAGTTCATTGTCGTGCAATTATCTACTAGATTGTGTTTTTTTTTACCATGGAGTTTGTTTGAAGTTCATCAGGGAGCTCCACTTGGGCATGTGTCCTTGTCGATCCACTGGCACATTATCCCCCTTTGCTGTTGTCTGGCTTGCTGCTGCCGCTAATGAAACATACTTCTGGCACTTTATTTCATCTGCTCTCTAACCAGCTCCTGCCATCCCCATCCCCATCCCCATCTCCATTCCATACCCAATACCCCACTCCCGTGGCAGCATTTAGCTCATTTTCGCCGGCTTGGCTAAAGTTTTTGTGTCCTTCGTTTTATTAGATTTTATTTGCTTAGTCTTTATTTGTCTTTTGCCGTCGTCGTCGTTGTCGTCGACGTCTTCCTGCTGCCCAGCATTACGGGTAAGTGTCCAATTTTACTTCGGACTCTCCACGTTCCGGTGCTGTGGCGATGGTTTCTCTTCGAGTGATACCCAGCCCATGGCTACCGCACCATAGGACATCGCTTGGTCACTTTAAAATTATTTCCAAAATTTCTCTATTTCCATGAGCGTTACACGGTAGCAAAATAGTGGGGTCGCTGCCATTTATATTTCCCGCTCGGCTTTTGCTTGCCACAGCAGAATCCATGTTGCTGGATGCTCCCTCTATTTGCTTTGGCCTTTTGTTAGTTTGTTTTGTGCAGGAAACTTTTGCTCAGCCAGATGGCCACATATGCCCCGCCATGGCTTCAGAGCAGAAGCTCTCTGCTGAGCATCCTTTATTCCAGCCTCGGCTTTTCATACCCTTGGAGAGGGTACACCTACTACGACTTTGATCCGAAGTATAACCGTATAGCTGGTATATACTCGTATATTAAAGTTCATCTGTCAGTTGTGAAGCTTAATGAAATTTTCTTACACAAGATTAATCCAAGCAACATCTGTGTGGGTGAAGATTTGACTTTTTCTATACATAAACATAAGTTTTTTGAGTTGTAACCGAAACCGATCATCAGTAATCGATCTAAGAGGGTATTGAATGCTGCGGCCTACGGGGCTGGACTTCCTTTCTTCGTGTGCTCCGTGTAAATTCGTCAAGTTTGTCAACACAAATTATGACAATTAAGTTTGCTGTTGACTTGTTTGCGTTGTCTGAAAACTTGGGCTGCAATTTAAAAACTCTCAAATTGCATTAGATTCCTGCCGAATCAGTTGACGGCGAATTCAATTAGGGGTACCCCTCAACAGAAAATACAAAAAAAACCGGCTCTTTGACATCACATGGCCTCGTGCTTAATTTTCCATTTTAATCCGGGTGCAGTGGCAGTGGCAGTGTCAAGTGGAAAGTTTAAGAGGCGCCTGCTAGTGGCACGGCACAGGTGCCGGCATCTGAGTTGCTAAGGCCCCGCCCGGAGGTGTTAAAGGTGGCTTGCAGCCACAATTGTTCATTAGATTAGCAAGTTGGCACGAAAAGTTTTTGGCCCGGCTCAAATGCCACTTTCACGGCTGCCGACACTCTCGAGTTGGATTGCGTTTTTCTGCCTTTGGCTCGTTTCCCTTTGCCTTTTGTCAGTGCAGGAGTTTTATGAATTTTCTTATCGAGAGACGACAAAAATGTACGTGGCCCAAAGTGGCAAGTTGTCACAATCTATACGAGTGCCGTGCCTCGGATATGTCTGTGTGTGTGTGTGAGCGAACTTTTGGCCCGACCCCCGTTCGGCAGCCTCTTCAGCTGCACCACATCGCTGTCTCAATTTGTCATTGGAGTTGCCGCTGGAGCTGCCGATAAGAAAGTTTTCACTTGATATAAGCAAATGCGGCTATTGATGGTAAATGTTGGCAGTTAAGTCTCTCTCTCTCTCCTTCTCACCCCCCAGCTGCCTTCTATGACTTTAAATACATTTTCCAGATTTCGTTTTTTAAAGCGGAGTTTCCAAATGGCGAATTTTACTTAGCATTTTGACTAGTGGAAACAAATGGAAATGCTTTATTCCCATTTAGACCAATTAAACTTATCTGGCCGTTGACTTTATCTAAATGAAGACCACACGTGGCGGAAAATGCGGAAAATGTGGAAAATGTATCCCCCCAAACGAGCCACTGGGATAATGTGGCGTAAGCGAACAGCTAAGGTGCGTAACGGAGCACTCTGCTGGAGTGTGTGTTACATAATTAAAAGGGGCCTCAAGGTGGCGAGGCGAGAGACAAACTATAAAATAAACCAAGAGAAAAGGAAAAACCACAGCCAGTAAATGCAAGGGGCCAAATATCCACAGAGACATCGAGGGAGAGTCACAGGCGCATTAAAGGAGTTTTTATTACCTTCTTCTTCTTCTTCTTCTTCTTGGCCCCGTGTGCCCTCAACCTGAATAATAGCCAGCGCGTCACAATGTCCTTTTCCGGTAATAATTCCACATTTAGCCCCGAGTCGAGTGGAGTGGAGTCGAGTCGAGTCACCGAGAATGCGGCAACCTAACACGTTCTGCCCGCCTGCCCGACTAAATTAGCTGTGACGCCAGTGGAAGTGGAATGGGCCCCCCCCCCCCCCCATCCCTTTGGCGGCTTAAGACATACCTACCCCCCACCTGGACTCCCTTCGACCACGTTATCATTTATAATGAGTTAATTACATTTAATACGCATGTACAATGGCCTGTTGAACATGGTGCACAATTAAATGTGACCCTGTCCGAAGGAGTGCTGGCAACAATAACAACACAGGATAACGCGATTAACGGTATCTGTCTGCTTTGTTGTGCCACTGTCTATTGTTGTGTTGGTGTGTGTGTTCGAGTATCTCTGTGTCTCTGTCTGTGTGGAAGGAACACTGCCACAGAGCTCAACGCTTTAAGCAGTCGTTGCGTTTAATTGCTGCTTTGAGGTTTATTAGCTGCTGATTGTAAGCGTAATTACATTTGCCTAAGCTGCCCGCCAAGGGGAAGGGACTGGCAGGGAGAACTACATAAAATGATGTGAAAATGTAGTACGTTAAAACTACTAAATGAACCCAGTTAAAAGTACATCTATCCCTTCATTTCGGAATAGGAATACCAGTTGAGAGATTTTGCTGAAGAATATTTTGACTTCCGCTCACCATTGAAACCTGTTAGAAACTAAACCGAAATGCCATTTATCAAATGGTCATTTTTCATATTCGCAGACATAGTTGCGGGGCTACCCCACACTACAATACCAAAAAAAATAGCATTTATCAACTTCTATCGCCCCCTCAATGGAACTACCGATCTACGGTGCATACTTTCAGGGGCTGCCATCGGCCATCGGCCATATTACGTATACGTGACAGCAGCTTGGCAAAATCCATTCTCAACGCCTCTTGGCGACAAATTCTTTGCAGACATCTAAGCATTTAACAATTTCGACCACTCCCACTTTGCCCATTTTGGCTGCTGGCCATTGCCATTGCTCTAACTGGAAAAAAAAAAAAAAAAAAAAACAAAAACGTAAAACAAAACGAAAACCAAAAAATAATTTTAAACCACAATTTGTGGGATTCGTTCTGCTTTCGTTGGGCAAATAAAAAATTTTTCTTTGTGCCTCCTGTTGTGCCTCGTGTCCTGGCTCGTGCCACTGACAGCTGCAAAATTTGTGCGCTCTTGTTCATTTGTTTGACTGCCCATTGTTGCCGTCCGTCCACCTCAAAGTGTGTCCGCGTACGGGTACGGGTACGGGTACGGGTGCGGGTATGTGTGTCCGCTTGTTTGTTGTTATGCCAAAAATTGAACACACAAAGCAATTGCTATGCAACATTTGTGCAGACATGGCCCAGAGTTAAAAAAGCACACCAAAAAACGAAGAACGAAGAACGAACAAATAAAATTGTTGTACAATTGAACGAGTGAGCGTACAAAGGTTCTCTATGTGTGTGTGTGTCAGAGTGTAGATGTACTGGATCGTTTAATAGTTTTATTGCCGGCCACTAGCGGTATTTGATACTCTGTAATGGATGACATTTAGGGGGTTTTCAATTTAAGGGAAAGACTGCTGCGCCTCGATTGGAGCACAAGAAGTACATGAATTAATTTTAAACTCAAACAAAAAATGGAATAGAGAATAGCTATGATCGATAAATATATATACATATATTTGATATGAAGTTAAATAACGTTTCAACGTTTAAGCAAGTCGGGTGAGCTCATTAAAAAACATTCTATAGAACGTAATTGAGAGTTACTCGTTACTCTACATATGAACAGTGAGCAGTCATAAAAGTAGTAATTAATTCCATTCTTATTCCATTTACAACATTTTGATAGTACAGGCCATCTCTCAGTCGAATACTAAAGTCTTATTCTTCTTTTATTTTGATGGAAACATTTTTGGCTGGCATATTCGTTACTTGTCATGTCATGTGGTCAATTGTTTATTGTTAACATGGTCAATCCCACACCCGTTCCATCCCCCACTCATTCCACTTTCAGCAAAAGGAAAACCATCAGCCCACCCTCAACCAGCCAATGTCTTGGCCACACCACCCCCATCCACCACCATTCCACATGCACTCGTATATATTTCTGAAAATATCAAATTGCTTGGCTTTCTTTTGATGCGGCCCGAGAATGTATATATATATATATATATATCTTGAGCAATTTGTGGCTTTGGTCGGGCTGTCAGCACAGTGCGCATTCAGACAAATTAATCCGTTTTCAGCTGTCTGTCATGGCTCAGCTGAGAGACCCCCGTCTGACAGATAGACAGAGGGAATGGCAAACACTTTAACACTTTAAGCAAACTCGAGTGCAGATGCTGTGACGCTGGAGCACTGCAGCAGTGCAGTTCTGGCTAATTAGAGACAAGGATTGTCGGCGTGATGCCGGATCGTTTTGGCTGAAAGTGCGTCAAGTGCTAAAATGGCTAATGCACTTTACTGCTTGCTCCGACAGCCAAAAAAAAAAAGGAAGAGCAGAGCAAAGCTTCAGGAATATTTTATGGCCTGACAAAAGACAGGCCACACCACTCCATGCCACTCCACACACACACACACACACACCACACTACACAAAGCTCTGACCGACTTCATCATCAACAAAGCTGGCGCCTTGGGCGCAAATTTCAATGCGTTTCAAGCATAAAATAAATGTCCACTAAAAATGTCTCTGCCATTGTTGTTGCTGGTTGCTGGTTGCTGCCGGTGGTGGTGGTGGGGGTGGGCGTGGCATGGTGCAGCCACAAAAATGTTGGTAATGGTGTGGGTACCCGTTTACCAGTACCCAGCTCTCTCTCGTACATGTCTCAAGGACATGTTCGTGGATGACTGCCTCGGAGCGGCGGGGCTCTGCTCTGCTCTCCTTCTGGACCAAAGTGAACTGAACTGGACTGGCCCAAATCGCTGCAAGTGCTTTTAAGTCGTTGTCAAATGCAAAGAGCACAATAATTCAAATTTATGACGCGCAATTGTGCTCATCTACACGCACACGAAGGCCCACACTCTCCACTTTCCGTTTCCGTTGGCGGCCCCCCCTTCCGATTTTGTCCTTTTCGTAGGCATAAATAAAGCAAAAGTTGTACGTGCGTCCAGCTGAGTGGGCGGGCGGCCGCTCGTCAGAAGTATGTAAATTTACTAGCCCAAGACTGGGCCACGGAGGAAAGAACCATAAAACCATTTTATAATTTGCGGTTCTCACTGAACAATTATCTGCTTTTGCCTTTGTCGTTTTGTGGCCAGAACTAGGTGAGGCGCCCCCGAAAGCTACGACGCTGTGTGGCAAGAAAGTGAAGCTGTTGGGAAATTATCTGCTTTTGATTTACTGACTTTGTTGGAGAGTGTCGTAAAATCTGGTAGAGCCTACGCCGGATAATTTGGGACACCAAGAAGTTTATCTGCATCTGGGATCAACTTTCGACATTCGATGGGCATAAAAATGCCCGAATTGAATGCCATAAATATTTGATGCAAATAGAAACAACTAAACGAAACGAGAGTGTTGGGATATTTCATTAATTTTATATCAAAGCAATCTGGCAAATTGCATATTTGTTTAATTGCTGCAAATAAATTCAGAAATGAAAACAAAACATCCCACCGCACACATGAAACAATAAAGAAGGTCAGCAGAAAAATCATAAAAAATAGCATTTAGTTGAACCAGTTTTCCTGTGGTATTCAATTAGACGACCAGCACACTGCATATGCCATGGAAAAACTAAAAAAAGGATGCCATGGAAAATCATAAAGAAAATATGCACCGAAGAACTACTATTAAAATGCAATATCTATGGATACATTCGCATGGGGGTCAGCGGAGGCCAGAACTATTGTTTTGAGCTCGAATGTGTTTGCGGATTTATAAACAAATCCCAATGCAAATCAGCGACACCAAACAAATGCAATTTGATTTATATTTATACACGCAAAAAATCAAGCGGCAAGAAACCAGAAACAAAAAACAGAAATGGAAACTTTGGCACAATAAAATGCAAATAATTGTGCTGGGCAAATAAATTAAAATAAATGCAAGAGCAAATGCCGCAGTTGTCCATAAAGTGGCGAATACTGAGCGCAAAAAACGGAGGACACAAACATTGATTAATACGAGGCCAAATGCATTAGGCCGGGGCACATAATTTACGACCGCCTGCCTCACAGAGAGCACTGTCTAGGCAAACGCAAAACATTTATTTGTTTAATGCATTTGGCAGCCATATTAATATGCCGATCGCATGGACTCTTGTTTGGGCATTTGTTTCCGATGCAGATGTCGATACGTGCCTTATACGTACTACTGAAGGACTAGAAGGGTATATTTAATTCGTAAAAATGTATAAAACATTTAGAGGAAATCGTATACAAAAGGAATTATTATGGCCATAAGTGCCTGATGAAAAGCAGCTCCCAGTAGAGTTTTTAAAGCACGCAGATCATCTTTTTCCTGCTTTCTTTCTCCCAAAAAACCTTAGAAGTTCTGGGTTTTACTCTGCACTAACATATCTAATTATGGAAGCTTATATTCTGTGTCTTCAATGACTGCTAGGTATCACATTGTCGAGTTATCTGACTCCACTTTAGCGTACTCTCTCTTGGATTTTTTTCCCAGCAGCATCAACACGAAACTTGACCAGAATGTCAGCTGCACAAACAGGACTAAACCATTGCTGCCGCTAGCCCAGAACTGCCCGGGGAAAAATAGTTGTCGCTGTTTTTTTTTTTCTTCCTCCCGGCTTCCACAACTTCTGTTTTTGTTGTTGTTATTGTTGGGAAAACAGCATTTGACATGCGGGTTCAAAGCGTTTGGCCGACTGTTTGAATTCCTATTTGCATTGCGTGTGTTTTGCCTCAGATCACCTGGCCCTCCCAGGCCCAGGCTTGGGTCCAGTGCCAGTCCCGGTCCCGGTGCAGGTCTCACCTGCCCCGTTGTCAACACGCCGCTGGTCGCGAATATATTTTTGGGAATACAACGGCAGCGGGCGTACTGACAACGAAATAACCAAAATCGAATGCCGTCCAAAAAGATAGACGAGAGAACACGTTCCATTTTGCCGGCCAGCAAAAGGCAATAAACACAAAACGCAACCAATTGAGTTCGAATGCAAATATTTGGCAATGTGCTCTAGCCAAAAAAAAAAAGGCAACGGCAACAAAGGCCCAGCCCGGCAACGTTTTCGGGGCCTAAAGCTCAAAATTGAAATTGAAAAGAATTTCGCGCCATTTAACAGTTTCATGGCAAGCAACTTCATCTCCTGCCTCTCCTGCTACCTTTTCCGAAAAGTGTTTGGAGTTTTTGTTTGTGTTTAGGGATGCCCCGTGCAGGTGTGAGAGTGCGTATCTGTGTGTGTGTGTGTGTGTGAGTTGGCTTATCTCCTCAGCTGACAGGAGCCTTTGGCCGTACAAAAGTGTTGCCTGGAAATAAAGGAAAACTTCAGCATCTGACTAAGCGAGAAATGTCGAAAAAAGTCCAATCATATCTGCTATGTTGTCTTTGTTTTTGTTCCTCTTATGCTGCTGGATTTTAAAAACAAACATCTACCCGTTTTAAGTTACATCTACATATTTCAATTGGTAATAAAAGTCTCTTATTTAACCTCGTAATTAATTCTCAAGGCTGCCGACTATAACTTTTCTATAATTTTCTGTACTCAGAAAAGAACATATTATGTTAAAGCTTTCATTCTCTTTTATTTTGTAATCTATTTAAAATGTTGTATTTGGCATCGCCCGGCCAACAAATCCTTTTATGGTTCACTTGCGATGTGGTTAACTCTCGTGTTGGATATCCTAGTTGGCATATTATTATTTAAATTGGCGAGTGCGGCACAGGGCAATTTCACAACTCAATGCTCGATGGACAGTCGAACTGACAACATAATTTCAGCATATGACAACTTTTCTAATGAGAAAAAATAACCGACCGACCGACCGACCCATAGACCAGACCCATCCGAAAAGTTCTCTTTTTGCGGACACACACAGAGGAGAACGCAAGCAATTTGCTTTGTGATTGTGTGTGCCTGTCTGCAGTTGTCACTTGGGTGACCAAAGCAAAACTGTCAGAAAGCATATGACAAACATTTGTCGTCGTCTGACAAGACCAGAAATGAGCCAAGAAAAATACAGATAGTACGAGAATGTACATACATATATGCCATACATACATATGTATGTATGTATGTATGTACATGTGTACACTCGTATTTCTGGGTGTATGCATATCAAACAAAATTTATTTTTTTCTTAAAAAAAAGAAAACGAAATAAACGGAAAATGTTTGGGATAGTGCGTCCTGCGCGCTCTCTCTCTCTCTCTTTCTCCCTCTGTGTGTGTGTGTGTGAGTCCCATCTAGGAGTCTGTCTCTAGTCCTCCTCGTCCACCAGAATGGTCTTAAAGGCAAAGGGCTCAAAGGCGTAACCAGCGCCCTCATAGAACTTGCTCATGAACTCAACCCTGTGGAGGGAAAAATATGGTCAGCTTAAAGGATAATGAAGAAACAACTCCAAATAGTATCCTACCAGTGCAAGCGAAGTGTGTGCAGGAAGGCAGAGAGTCCTTCGATGAGCACCAGGATGCCGACAGTGAGCGACGCCCAGGCACCAAACACCAGGTAAACGCCAATGGCCCCAATATAGCTGTTAAATATGAATCCTTTTGCGAGGACCATGTTCCACAGCACTTCGGAGAGCTCTGAAAGGGAAATACAAAATATATATATATCAACGTTCCAGAGATCCAGCGATCAGGGATCATTCTGTTGGACTTACGCGCATGCGCCAGGGACAGGGCCCAGAGACGAAGATAGGAAGCCGTGTGGGAGACCGTGCTCAGCACGTACTCGATTGTGTGTATGGCTTGGTGGATGAAGATTTCACCCATTGGCTCGTCTTCGCCGTGACCGCCATGGTCCCCTCCTGCGGCACTTTCTTGGGACTTGGGCAGGGGCGGTGGACTGCCGCGTCGCTTCATCATTATGTACAGCGGCTTGCCGAGCAGCATCCAGGGAATGCAGATAACCGCCACCACAACGAAGACCATCTGTATGGCCTTCTGGCCCTCGAACATGAACTCCTTGCAGGGCTCCGGCGTGTCCTGGCTTCCCTGCAGAATCATGTTGATGAACAGAATGAGAATCGAGGGAGCACAGGCCGGCGAAAGGGGCCCCTCGACAGTGTCGTTGTAGACGAGCCACTTGAAGAACATCATGAAGACCATGTAGCCGAAGAGCAGCAGCAGGAACAGCAGCTGGGGCAGGAACTCCAGGAAGATGCTGGCATACTTCTTGTAGTGTAGGAAATTCACGACGGACATGGAGACGCCGAAGACCATGTGCAGCACGCCGAAGATGATCGACAGCTTCATCTTGAAGGTGTTGAGGAAAATGATTTTGTTGTCGGCCATCTGCCAAATGGGATCCATGCCCAGGGGATAGGTCTTGAAGAAGGTGTCGTTGGGACGCAGTGTTAAGTACTTGAGGGTTGGGTCAGTCATCACCTCCTCTGTATAGTTCATATTCCAGCCACTGCCGAAGATGTTCATCGACTTGGAGAACACATCGTTGTAGATGAAGCCCGTGTAGACGGAGAAGAGGCCCATCAGTAAGATGATGTAGCGACCGCCGAAGAAGATGTTGAAGATCTCCTCCTTGATGGCGGCCAGCTTCTCCTCCTTGAGGATCAGCCAACCGGCGAATAAAACCAAGATGATGCCGTGTCCCAGGTCGCCGAACATCACAGCGAACAGAAAGGGAAAGGTGATGCACGCATACAAGGCCGGATTCACCTCCCGGTACGAGGCAATGCCATAGGAGTCGACCAGGTTCTGGAAGCCATTGGTGAACTTGTTCGTCCGCGTATAGGTCGGCGGCTGCTCGTTCGTCTCGATCACATTCATGAAGGCTGGTATGGAGCTCTCCGACTGCTTGGAGCCGCGTGCCAGGGCCTCCTGCACCGTGGTCAGATCGTTGGCCGGCACCCAACCCTCGCCAATCAGACACTTGCCCGTCACATCCGGATTGAAGTAGTTGAGGATGTGGTAGATGGCCTTCATCTTGCGCACCATGATGGACCAGCGGGGCAGGTGCTTCGCGGCCGAGGTGAGCACCCGGCAGCGGTGATCTGCGCTCTGATTGAGCACCATCTTGAGGTCCTCCAGGCGGACATTCACGTCCTTGATCATATCGACCCGCTCGGCATGGGAGCTGGGGCAGGGATAAACGGAGGCATGGTAGCCTGAGCAGACCTTCTTCACGCGCTGCTTCAGCTGCTCGCCCTGGAAGAAGGCCACAAAGACGGTCTTCAGCACGGGTCGACCGGTCTCCTCGTCGTCGCACAGTCCCTCGATGTCGCAGCGCCGCAGGAAGATGTTGCCGCGCGAGATGCGCCACAGCATTCGCTCGAAGGAGAAGAAGCGCTCCAGCTTGATCACACCGGCCACAAAGGCCAGCTGCCCGCGCTGTCCGCCCGGCTGCTGGGTGGGATCGTTGGGATCCACCGTGCGATTGGAGTCCAGGTTAATGATCTCCTGGTCGGAGAAGAAGCCTTCGGTGTTCTCCAGCACACACTTCAGCTCCTCCATGTGCGTGAAGTTGGCCTTCAGGCTGGCCCCGTTCGCAGCCATCTCCCGCAGCTCGTTCTCTGTCTTCTCCAGCTGGGCCTCCAGGTCGACTGCCTCGCGGGGATTGGGCGCGGCCGGCTCTTCCTCACCAACAAGCAGGGGTAAAGCAATCTCGTCCCGCTTCATCTCGGCCTCGACGTAGCGCAGGCGGCGCTCCATGTCGTCGCAGCGTCTAACCTCCGTAACGTACTTGCGCTGGAAGGAGCTGACCTCCTCGTTCAGATCCCGGAACTGGACGCAGCCGCTCTCGCCGAGCTCGGCAATGGAGGCATAGGCTGCCTCGGGCTGGATGAACAGCTGGCACAGGGCCATCTGCTCGCTCCGGAACATATCCCCCATGGTTGTGTCTGTCGTTCGATGTCTGTCACTGCAAGAGACGAATCATACTGTCAGTTGTATTCGCAATTTGACTGATTAGGTGTGTCCGACTAGGTCTAATGGGTCGGCGGCTTGTCATAGTCGCAGTCCCAGTCCCAGTCCCAGTCCACCAACATTGTTGATCCGACTGACGCACATAGTTTATGGTCCTCCAAATTTCAGTGCACTCCCAGTGTCGCAATCAATCACATAAGTGGAACTGAACAGAACTGTTTACGGCTCTCACCCAGATTAGATAAGCGGTTTGCCCCGGGGCTCGGCTATCGAGATCGGTTCGGCCCCTTATCTATTGGCATTCGGAGCTATCTGGAGTGGGTGTATGTGTATGGAGCCCTGAGCGCTGCGCGCATTAATAATTTGAAATTATTAACAATTACCGAGCAATCAGTTGGTTTACAAATAATCCCCCAAAAGTCTTTTATTGCATTAAATGCTTATTTCCCTGACAGCCCCCTGATACGGCCACATCAAGGACCTGTGCAGTGTCTTTGTGGGTGGTGGTTGGGGCTGGGCTGGGGCTGGGCTGGGCCCCGTTTTCTCTCTGATAACTCTCTGATTTGGCTATTCCAGATTATAGATATTTATGGCCGTCTAGGCTACTCGTTTGCTGTGATTTCGGCTCGCCTGTCTGGCCATAAAAATGATTGAGTCTGATTCCCGACTACTCGCAGTAGCTCCACGCTTGATAGAGAGTCACGCTGTCTGTGCCCTCACTGAGATTTTCCGATAGTTTCGGCATGCGAGAGATCTGATTTACAGCTACAGGAAGCTACTTAATATAGATGGCATCGTGGTGATTGGTTGTTGATTTCTAAATTGAAATTCAATGGAATGCTCGAAGACACTCAATTGGCTCGCAGATTGTTGGGTTTTTCTTTTGAATGGGGGGCTGGGAGTTATGCAATGGGGTGGAAGATATAGCATTATATTTACTATAAACTGATTTAAGTATGAGTTGGAATCTCTAGAGTTAATTTTCTTTGTGTGGAACATTTGCCCAAGTGCAAACAATTTTACGCACCACTTCCTTTACAGTTCACAGACCTAATTCTGTGCCTGTAGGTGGTCACCGCCCATGGCTGTCAATGGATAAATCAGTGCAGTTCCTGGCCTTATCGCGGTCAGTCTTGTACATCAGTTTTAGCCATAAATCTGAGCGGCAGACAATTGCCTTTAAGTTGGCCATAAATCTTGCAGGCAAACTGCACGCAAATGTCTGATTATCGATAGCCCAGCCCCAATCCGAGCCACAATCCCTGCTCCAGTCCCTGGCCCACTTGGCTTATGTCTGCAGTTATGGGTTCACTACGGGGCTTGGCCCGAACAGAAAGAATTACTTGGCTCATTAAGAAATCCGTTCGTTGGCCGTAAAAGTATTATCGACAGCGTAATAATTTGTGCGGCAAGTTTCTGCTTGACGTTTGAGTGGCTCCCAGCCCCACATGATCCATCACGTGCTCTGACGTCACACGGCAATTATGGCGCCATATATAGGCACGTATATATGGTATATGTGACTAGGTTATAGCTTGTATTAGTGGCAGGCAAATAGAAGTTGACGTTTAACTGGTGTTTTCAGGCAATTATCAAAAATCAATTAAGATAAGTTATCGCCGATTGCCATTACGATTAATACAATTGTCACGAGCAAAACTTTGAATAATTTGGCCAGTCTCCCACGAGGAACTACGAGTCTTCGCCTACGTGCTGACACATGTTGTGTGGGGGTATTATTTAAATATCTTTTACGAGTACGAAAAAATGTATAAAGTAAGAGCGCATTTTCTAATTTATGGCCTGTTAACGGGCTTATCTCGGCCAACAATGATAACCTCGTAATGTTAACCCGTGTCGGAGCACTGATAAAACCACGGCTAAGCAACTGCTTAGAAAATACTTTGGATTTGTGTTGAGTGCATGACTGGCGATGTGGCGACGTGGCAGCGTATGAGTCACAGGAAGTCCATCAATTGTGATCACAAAATCAATGCGAAATTTGTTCACTCGGTTCACCAATCAAAATCTAAAATTAAATAAGGATACTCTTCCAGCAGCACACTTACACTCGTGAGCTAAAAATCGGTTACTGTTTTCGCGACCTGCCACCCCAATGGTGCAGAAAGAACTGTGCAATCGCCTAAGACCCGACCAGCTCTATGGCCAATAAGACTGAAGCTAATCTACACTTGGCACCAATACAGGCCCATATACTGCCAGAACACTATGGGAGAGCGTTCACCAATAAGTAATCTTTGTGCCTTTTTTTTATCACAAAATATTGTAGAAACACTCGCCGATTTGAGTTGTTGTAACAGGTATTCGTTGGGGTAGATTTAATGATTGCTGTTTAAGGATCAGAAAATATTTAATTTCTTTTTATGTTTTGGTTCAGGATTTACAGTGAAGCCGATTGTTGAACTGTTGAAGATGGAATTATAATTTATTTAATTTTATACAAAGAGTTATTATTATCGGATAATCTGTAAAATAAGAATAATGCAATAAGAAACTGGGTATCCTCGATGCAAATATTAACCCAACTACTCGGTATCCTATAGTCGAAGCACATAACTGTATTAATCATATTAGGTATTGTTGATTGTGTTGCCAAACAACAGAACCAAGAACGCCTTTGATAGACGATGGCGTTGGCTTATCGCCATGCTCCCCTGGGCCATCGCGATGAAATCGCCAGGTAATCGGCAAGTGACTGAAACCCAATTAAGGCAGCGCACGTCTGATTAGTGGTCACATTTGGAATAGTGTCAATGATCGAGTAAAAGCACGAGTTGTTCAATATACACATACTCGTATGTATAGTGGCATAAAATGATTGGCAGTCGAGTTGCAGCTGATATGGCAACTGCAGCATTTATTAAAGAAATCTAATGACAGAATCATCAATCAATATTTCGAGGAATGACATAACCTACTTGGGGGTAGATACATATAACAAAAGAATGGATTGGAATGTGTCGCTTGTGAACTATGAAGCTCCCACAATCCGTGCCAAGTATACCTTCAGCAATATTTTACTTAAACTCCATCCAAGGTCCAACACAGCACAATCAGCCGCTACACCTTTGGGTAATATGCAAGGATTACTCAAAGATTTAAGTGGGACGTGTGAAGGGGATCCGGACCAAGTCTGTGCCAAGGCAGCACCGGCAGCACCGGCAGCATTATGTCTACTCAGTTGGTATTAGGCGACGAGTCAAGTGCTTTGTTTATCAGGTGGTCTCTATGGCAACTGTCTTAAGTACGCCCCCGGCTTATCGCGAGTCACGTGCTCTTGTCGATTTGCGAGTAGGCACATGATTCACTTGCAAAATTCACTCTCTACAGCAGTAATTTTCCATTCATGCTGAAAATTATGAAGTATATTCGGAGGTAATAGCTTCCCAATGGGTTCTGCCAATCAATGAGTGATAAAATTCACAGAAAAAATATATAAACTTATCTGAAAACGTCATGTGATGGCATCAGACCGTTTGATTTGACGCAGATGTTCCGGAGTTTGCATTCAATGTATTATTTGTATAATTCTGGCATGCGCTTGACTGATAAGCTGCTTGCCACTCTGATAGCAGAGCACCTGACTATTACAGGGCTTTGGTTGAGTTGGCTAATTAAAAATTTGCACCTATGCCCATAATGAGCTTAAGCATCTTAATTTATGCTATTTAAATGAGCTGAACGAGCTCCTGAGCGAGCAGGGGGCAGAGGGCAGGGGGCAGAGGGCAGGGGGCAGGAACAGGGGCCACGAGTGACCGCAAATAAATCGCATACAACTTTAAGCTGCTGCAACATCATCATATGCCTGGCTCCTAATGCCACATAATGATGCTGATAATGGCCATCCGTTAGCAAGTCTGTATGTGTGCATGGGGACGGCCAAAAAGACGGAGCGCACACACGGTGGAAAAAAGGAATTTAGCTGCCAGCACGTGCAACTTTTCGCTGTTGCACATTAAATGGGGGCTGAGGTGGGGTCGCCTGTGGCAGGACTCGGTCGGGCTAATGTGCGTCACCATTTCGTATGCTTTCGGGAACAGCGCACACTTGCAACAACAGCTGCCACGAGTGCTGTGCTGTGCCCCATGTGCCACATTCATATGGAGTCTCCTCCCTACCTCCCTCCCTCCCTCCATCCCTCCATCCATCCATCTATCTTTGAGCTTGGCAACCGCCTCTTGTCGGACCACTGGCTGCATTTGGCCGTGGCCAATAACTAAGTTGTTGCGTGCGGTTCTCTGGATTAGTCTAGTGCCAATATGTAGCAACAAAATGGCCAGCGATCGCCAGCGGTGTAAGTGCTTTTTAGTGCGGTCTGCCGCACAAACGTGCAGCCAATTGGATTCCAATGGGCAGCTCTTTCCGATTTCCAGTGGCACTTCCAGTAGCAGCTGCAATTCCAGTCCCAGCATTATCTTTACTGGGTGTGTATTGCAGATTTGGGCTTAGGTCTATTGGCGATAAACGCTCCACTCGACGACTGGAATGCGTCGTTTGTTTACTCGCATATTAGATAGTGAGTCAGATACAATACGGCCCTCGCCGACTTATCAGTGGGTTATCTTTTAGTGCTGTGGGTTTATCGTCGTTTACACTCGTGATTAAACAATTAATGAGAAACTCTTACTAGATTTATGTTTTGTTATGGCACAATAAAATATAGTGTAGCTTTAATCTAATTTAATTTAATTTAATTTATGCCGAGCCACATTGACCCGCTTTTCTTTACAATACCCAACATTGAAGCTGTTCGTAAGTGTTTTCTCTTTTATAGCTCGTAAAATAAAAACTAATGTTAAATAAATAAGTATGGCACAAAATGAAATTAAAGAACAAACGAAAATGAGCGAATAAAAATGACGAGTCAGTTGATACCCTAGCAGTTTGATAGGTATTCTGGTAGGTGTGGTAACTGATATGTAGTAATATTATGATTCGCTATTGATAACATTTTACTGAGACATGGGTAAAAAAAAATTCAACAAATTTAGTTTAGTTTTAGATTTAGATTTGCTTGAATTATATTTAGAATTAGAAAAGTATTTCTCACAAACTCTAGATCTTACACCGGTCGTTCGTATGGCTGCTAAATGATATAATGAACACACCGAAGGCTGCTATTATTACAGAAGCTGCTATTAAAAAAGCTCCTGAAATTTTAATATTTTCACTTAGATTTTAATATTTATGCCATTGATTTTCATTCAAGAGTGGTTCTACTAATATTGCTGAGAGCAAAGAGGAGATCGCTAGAACGAGAGTGAAGAAGCGTCAGCCAACGCCGCTCAGAGGCCTCTCGCCATTCCGTTGTCAGTCGAAGCTGTATCCATTACTACTATACATATTTAGTCAATAAACATACATTTAAACACAACCTTTCACATAAATATGAAAATATTTGAATATAATATATTTTATATTTAAATTTAATATGTTTTATATTTAAATTTAATATGTTTCATATTTAATTTAAAAATATTACATATGAATATGAAACATATTCAACTAAAAATTTAATATTTTATAGTTATTTTAAAGTGTTTTGAATTTAAATTAAATATGACCGTATTAAAAAAGCCTTTTTAATACATTTATATTTAAATCGAAGTGAATTATATTTAATTTTACTAAGTTTGTATTTAAAAATCACATATTAAATTGAAATATGAGGGTTGTTATTTTTACTACACCTGTTTTCTATCAGTGTATTAATCATTTATACGATTTGTTGTTTGCTTCTGCGAGAATATATGAATGAACGGAAACAATAATCTGCTGCTTCAGATCTATAAGATCTGAAAAGCATTGCCAACTTCTCGTCACAATCACTATACCCTCTGGTAATAAGTGTATAAAAAGAGCAACAATCAGCACGATTGCGAACTACCAATAAGAGTGAGAGAGAGACCGAGCCCACTCGGTAGCTCGCAAAAAATAGCAGCCCCAAAAGTATGATACGGAAAATTCAACATTAACAGCACCAGCGCCATGGCCATGGCCATCGCCAACGCCATCGCCAGCAACGTCATTTCGTATTTATTGTATTACCTTTGTCAGCATATCTAACATTTATTTTTTGTTTCGCCTCCTTTTCCGGCACTGTTTAATACTTATTATTTTTTTTTGCCAGGATGAGGGTGGGGTTGGCTTTACGGTTATGGCCTCATCCTACCAGCGCATTGTTTCCATTCAAGATGAAAAATCCAATTTTCTGCTTTAAGCATTTTTATAATGCCAAAGCGCCGTGCTCCCCCAACCCGAAAAAGTCCCCAGCGAAAAGGGTTCACAAATGCAGAGGAATTGTTATATTCATTGCGGTGTGGTGTCGTGCTTTCCAGTTTTGTTCCGCAATAATGTACGCAATTTGTTCCGAAATGAGAATGTGTGAAAATGGTGGAAAAACAAACGCTAATATGCCATGCCACATGCAGAATGAAATATCGCTGTTGAAACAATACTGGAGCTGAGGGTTTGCAAACAATTGCCGGTAGTCTAGACAATTGTTTTTCTCTCAGTTTCTGTGTTTATTTGATGTATGAAAAAACATTTTGTGTATTTTGTGTTTGCTTTTAGGTAAATAAAATTAATAGATGTGTGAATTGTGAGACTTCCCCTTGAACTCCTTTGGTTTAACAAGGATTTCGTATTTCAATTTGCCGCTGGAAATGCTGATGTTACGTCTGGTGTATATTTTTCCGAGAAAAATAATTTAAACAAGACTGCAGCGGTGTAAAAACCGCAGAAGCAACTGGCAGCCCACTCACTCACCTTCCAGCACCGCCGGCAGTTGACAATTATGAGCCACTGTTACGAGCACAACTCATACAAAACGTTGTGCGCCAGCTCAGCTGAAATGCATATCAGTTTTGAATTATACAGAAAAAATAAAAGACAGAGCGAGCAGTGTGGCAGTGTAGCAGCATGCCATAATGCCGCTCTATGTCATGTCGTGCATAAACGCCAACTGTTGCTCTCCTGTACCCCTCGCCAGTGCGAGTATGCTCCACCCCCCCCTAGCAGCTTAAAACAATAACAGAAATACGAGTATCATCGTGTATAGTGGCTCCTGGCGGCGTGTGCTCTCGGTGCTCTTGTCTCAATTTGCTTCAACGCTGCGCTGCGTATGTATGCC